TATACGACCACCCTGCGGGTGATAAGGAGGTGAGGGGGGAGGGGGAACCAACGTCTCACTCAATCGATCTCGCTATCGATCTCACAATCGATCGCACATTCGATCTCACTATCGATATCACTATCGATCTCGCTATCGATCTCACTATCGATCTCAAAATCGATCTCACAATCGATCTCACATTCGGTCTCACATTCGGTCTCACTGTCGATCTCACTAACGATCTCACAATCGATCTCACAGTCGATCTCGCATTCGGTCTCACATTCGGTCTCACTATCGATCTCACTATCGATCTCACAATCAATCTCACAATCGATCTCACATTCGGTTTCACATTCGGTTTCACTATCGATCTCACTATCGATCTCACTATCGATCTCACTATCGATCTCACTATCGGTCTCACTATCGATATCACAATCGATCTCCTCACAATCGACGTCATCATCATCATCATCATCATCATCATCATCATCATCATCATCATCAACATCAACATCAAAATCAACATCATCATCATCATCATCATCATCATCATCGTCATCATCATCATCATCATCATCATCATCATCATCGCCATCATCAACATCATCATCATCACCATCGTCATCACCATCATCATCATAATCATCATCATAATCATCATCAACATCATCATCGGGACACCGACGGGACACCGACGGGACACCGGCGGGACACCGGCGGGACACCGCGCCGCACCCCCCCCGGGGGGGGGGGGCCCCCCCCCCCGGCCCGGGAAGAGAAAACATTTGGTCCGTGGCCCGCGCCTCAGCAACAACACCAGCGGGACACCGGCGGGACACCGCGCGCCACCGGCCGACCGGAAGGGAAACATTTGGTCCGGCCGCGCCTCAGCCACAGGAGAACCGACGGGACACCAGCGGGACACCGGCGGGACACCGCGCGCCACCGGCCGCCCGGCGGAGAATCATTTGGTCCGGCCGCGCCTCAGCCACAGGAGACTTTCCTCTCGCCCGCCCACGCAGCTTCGCCTCGCCCGCACGGCACGCACGAACACGAAACCGAAATCGATTTCCTGGTAGGGGGGCTCTCCGTTCCACTTCGATCTCACCCACTCACCTCCGATTCCTGTATGTAGGGCCGCCGTGCCTGGTCATGGCCGGGGCCGTCCTGTCATCGAGGGCAACAAATGCCAGACCCTGGCACGAAGTCGGGCGAGTCCTTCCACAGGAGGAGTACAGTCGGGGCGCTGAACAAGGAACCCTTTTCGTTGGGGAGGGGCTCCGTGTTCCTTAAGTGTTTCGCAGCTTGCCTTGGATGTTCCTAAGGTTTTCGATGCGAAATCGAAGTTCAACTTATGGAAAATAGGGGCCTCGTTCCTTATTCAGGGTTCCTTAGGTCAACGCCTCGACTGTAGTCAGGGGACGATTTTTGGACAATTTTCAAAATATTCCCGTATGCAGGAGGACGTGCCCGACCTGCCCCTAGCAACACACGGGGAACGTGGCCTCATGTATCGGCGGCGAGCGAGGGGGGAAGTGATAAAGAGACGGCCATCTCAGAAGGCGGCGGGACTTCTCAGAAAAGTCCCCGCGCCTTCTGAGAGGATTTCGTGGCTTCGGGGAAGGCTTGAACATTCTCGCAGAAGGCCGGGGGACTTCCGAGCCTTCTGCGAAGGCCCGCCCCTTTTCACTCCCCTCGGGCGCGCCGCCTAGTCGAGAACAAAAGGGGCCCCTGACCCCAACAATACAAAGAAGGCGTGGCCTCATTTAGGCCCCCGCATCTGCATTTCGGATAAGGCCGGACCGAGGTATGACATCGAGGTGGGTTCGGGGAGAGTGCCCACATGTTTTTCGTGTTTGTCAGATGTTCTTGTGCATCCTGGGGGAGGTTGCCCTCGAGTGTTCTTCAGTTTGGCTGGCGGAGTGCCTCATGCTTTTGAAGGATGTTATTATGTCCTGGGCCCGGCTGTAGAGATGACCCCCTATTCCAGGTTCTGCGCCGCCTAACTTAGGTCCACTCCCAAAGGGATAGGGGTCCTCTTGTTGCTAATGATCCTGGGCCTTCGGCTGGCGTGTAGACAGGCCGACTCGAGTCTTCCGAGCTCGAGCCTCGTCTCCCCGGCACGACCGGGCTCGCCCCAGAACTCGTGGCCCGAGCGCGCGCCGGGAGAGGTCCAGGGAGCAGGGGCTCTTTTGGGGGGTTAGATTCGACCTTCCAGGGCCCTCCACCCCATCCTTCTGTGGCATTTCAGAGCCCCGAATCATCAGGGGTAACTCGGGTCAGGGATAACTCGGGTTCCTTTTTCGGGAATCCAAACCCTAGTTACCCCGGACCCGAGTTACCCCGGGTAACTCGGGCGCCCAAGCATTTCTGGCGCCAGATCGATCTGTGACGGCCTCGAGGCCCAGACCTGGGCGAATACGCCCGGTGTGAACAGATGTCGCGCATCCTGCCATCGGTATCGGCACGCCCGGGAGCAGGACGAGCTGAAACAACGGCAGCTCACGATCGACCCCCCGAGCCCTTCTCGGGCCTGATCGTTGGGCGTCGCGAAGTGGGGGGGCGATACATGAGGGGGGAAGCGAGGGCTGCAGAAAAGGGGCCCCTGAAGGGGCCCTTGAGGGCCCAAGAGGAGACCTGTAGGGCCCGAGAAGTGCACCTTCCCTCCCCCCAATTATGCCATCATTGCTCCCCCGTTATGCCACTATCGCCCCCCCCATTGAGCCATAATCGCCCCCCCCATTCAGCCATCTATCACCCCCCCATTCGGCCACTATCGCCCCCCCTTCTCTTTCCCTGGCAAGGGCACCTCATGCGGCGCCCAAGAACGCACCAGCCTTCCGAGCTGCGTCCCTTGCCGTGGCGACGACGGGCCCCCTCCGACCTCACGATTCTCGTCGCGTTAAGTCGGGCACGTCCCTCTACAGGGGCAATATCACAAAATAGTCCAAACATAGTCTGGAGACGTCTTTTTTGTTGTTTTTGTTTTCTATTACAACAAGCATTTTGTATGAATGAACCAGGTTGATACTTTTCTTATATCTATATACACGAATGTCCAATATCCGCCTGTAGGATGACATGCCCGACCTAATGGTCGCCCCAGGACATGCCCGCGCCGCCGCCCCCCCTGGAGAGCGAGGCGTTCCCCGGGGAGGGCCAGCTCACGGAGGACGAGCGCAGCCGGTGGCTGGTGCTGCACTTCGCGCTGCCGCGGACGATCATGACCTGCGACCTGGCCGCGCACAGGTCGGAGGGCACCAACTATACACCAACACCGATCCTGGCCCAGGATCACCCTGGGCCCAGGATCGGTGTATATGCCTTCTTGCGCAAGGCAGGAGGGCGTATACACCGATCCTGGGCCCTGGGTGATCCTGGCCAGGATCGGTGTTGGTGTATAGTTGGTGCCTTCCTACACAGGAGCACCGAGTCCGAGCTGAACGACGTGCTCTCGCAGATGGCCTGGGGTACCGTGGACCCTGGGAGCTCGGAGTGGGTCCTCGAGTCCGAGGACCGGAGGGCGCCTTTTTTACACACCTCCTCAGGGGAGGAACAAGCACGTAGCCGCTACGTCGTAGCGATGCCGCGACCCCTCCCTCGCTTTCGGCCTTCTTGGGCCTCCGGGGAGGCTCTCGTCGCCACGGCTAGATTCTTCTCGAAATTCGGGTCAGAACGCACCCCAGGAGAGGTTCGAAGAGCATCGGTATCCGTATTTTCTTGTATCCCACCTACAGTCATCGCTTTGGGGTAAGGTCGACTCTGGTTTCGCAAGGGCCGCGATGCTCCTCAGATGCTTCCATGGGTCCTCCCTGGCAATCCTTGCGCATCTCGACGCAGCCAAGGGCCCAAGCCGGCTTCGTACCTTATCCGAGGTTCTTTGTGGTGAAGCTTTGACTGCACACTGATCCTCACCAGGCCGATCCTGGGCCCTGCATGGGCCTGGTGAGGATCTGTGTAGGTGCATGTTCGGCACCCTCCCAGAGGAGCCGACGCTGGACGCTCCCCACTCCTCGCTGATCTCTTACAAGGAGTTTTGCGAGAGGGCGTACCCTGCAGACGATGAGATGGAAGAGGAGGCTCGCCAGGAGAACCTGCTGATGGCGGCAGAAAAGCGCGCTGCCTTTACCAGTGCAGGGGAACCTGGGTTCAAGTTCCGCCCCATGCTCGAGCAGATGGTGAAGTGCCTCGAGTTTCAGAGCAAGGCCCTGAAAAAGGCATACGATATCAAGAAGCCGATCCTGAACGAGGACGACGTGCCCGCGGACCCGTCCAGGACGGAGGCACATAATATCCTGCGCTACGGCAGGCACCAGATACTCCCAGCGTTCTGGCAGCTGCTCTCGCACCTCTCGAGCAGCAAACAGCGGCATGCGCATAAGCTTTCGGAGGTCCGCGCGGATCTCTCGAACTGGCGCTGGACCCCCCTCCCTGGCGCGCGGAGCGCGCCAGGGGCGTCACAGGAGTCGCCGCCAGAGGGGGCCCTGTGCCGATCCAAGAATTCCGATCAGACCTCCTCCTCCTCCTCCTCCATCTCCATCTCCGTCTCTTCCTCCTCCTCCTCCTCCTCCTCCTCTTCCTTCTCCTCCTGCCGAGAACTTATGTTGACGCGGTTTTTTGTTCCTCGAACCTCACGAAGAGCAACCGCCGCTTCTCCGTGGTGCTGCGGGCCTCCAGCGAAGAGCAGCTGGCCCCCGTGCAGCAGGAGCTGGCCGCCTTCTGCCAGATGCAGCACCCCTGCTACGACGGCAAGAACAAGACGCAGAAGCCTCCGCCCATGAACGGCGATCGAAGAAGAAAAAGCGCCATAAACATAAACTTTTGTCGGCCCGCGCGGATTCCTCGGATCCGCGCTGGGCACCCCCGGCGGCGCCTCCGGCTCCGCCCTTGGCGCGCTCCGCGCGCCAGGGAGGGGGGTCCAGCGCAGATCCAAGAAGTCCGCGCGGAGTTCCAAAAGTTCATGTCTATTGTGCTTTTTCTGCTCCCAGGCGAGAAGGGCTCGCGGGACATGAGACTTCATGATGCCGCGGTGGGCTCCATTCAGTCCGGGAAGCTGGTGTTCGACAGGCGGCCCGGGAGGGTGGCCGAGGACGGCACGGAGACGGAGCCCGAGCCAGCCGTCTACAGCTTCCCGCCCTTCCACGACTGCTACGCAGGCCTCATGAACCAGATCCTCGGCCCCGGCGGGGCGAACACGGCCGCGATCGTGGAGCCGAACGCCGAGGCGGGCAAGCTGCTCCTCGTGGATCACGAGGGGGGCTTCGCGGAGACGCAGGTGCAGCACGTCTTCTTCGACGGCCGCATCGGGGCGGCCGACAGCGGGAGCGTGGACGTGAGGGACGTGGTGAGCGGCGAGCCCGTGCCTTTTGCGCAGGCGAAGGATGTCTTCCTGCACCGCGTGGACCTCTTCCAGGCCGCCACGGACCCCGAGTACTTCGTGAGGGCGGTGGAGGCGTGCGAGCTGAACATGTCCAGCGGCATCGTCGGGTCCAGGAAGGTGGAGGGCGGGGAGGAGCACCTGGCGCCGGAGGCAGCGAAGGCCCTGCCTCCCGTGGAGTGGCTCCACCACAACATCATCCTTAGATGCTCGTTTTCGGGGGCACTGCTGGGCCCACCCAGCGGATCTGCTTGGACTTCCCCTCGACTCATGTTCGACCCAAGTTCGTTTTGA